CACTTGATTGTGCAAAAAATGGTCGCGTTCTCCAAAAAATACCGCAAGATTGTGCAAAGGCACCAACTCTTCCGCCACGCCCAAGCGCTCACATAAGGATATACGCACAGTCTCCAGAGCAGATCTGGCCCGGGCGCGCAGAGAGGGAGCAACCCCCCGGGTGTGCCCGAGCTTGCTATCCAGAGAGACCAAGGACTACAAGAACTCCCACTCGTGCTGCTCCAGGTGGTCGCTGGTCCAGTATTCGCCACGCTGCTCGCGATAGCGACGATACGCTAGGAGCCGCTGCGTGGTCCTGCAATCCGATGTCGTCATCGTCGTCGTCGCTCTCGTCGTCAACGTGGTCGTCGACGTCGCCGTCGCTCTCGTCGTCATCGTCGTCGTCATCGTCGTCGTCGTCGTCGTCGTCGTCGTCGTCGTCGTCGCCGTCGTCGTCGCCGTCGCTCTCGTCATCGTCGTCGTCGTCTTCGTCTTCGTCGTCGTCGTCGTCATCGTCGTCGTCGTCGTCGTCCTGCAATCCACGAGATACTGCGCCAATAACTGCTGTTGCACCTCCTCGGCCGAGACGCCCTTCTGCAGCTGCTCCAGGACAAACTCCCCGCATACGTGGCGATGTATATCCTGAGCATTCTCCAGCAGTGCCAGCTGCTGGGAGGGCGCCTTCAGCCACCTCTCCAGGTTTCCACGATGTGCAAATACCCCGGTCTCCGCGCGATACTTGTCCACCAGCGCTCGCCCCCTCAAGCCTTCAACGTAATACCAGTACTGGAGGTCCCTGCGCGACAGCGCGTAGACGGCGCAATTGCCGTGTTTGGCACCGTCTCCGAGGCGATACCTGCCAAGCCACTCTCGACAGACATTCGGACCCGTCTCATACCCCCAGGCCTTCAGACGCACCTGCATATTCCGGTAGTCGAGGCCAAGGCCCAGGTCGGAGACCTCCTCTCGATACCGCTTGCCGCATGCCGCCTCTAGAGCCTCCACCGTCATCAGCGTCATACGAACCACATCTGTGGAGGAAGAAGCTGCCGTGGCCTGCTGCTTGGATACGGGCTCCTCCGCGTCGACCGCGGCAGGCCGTTTGGCCACGCGGGCAGATCCGGCGGCGGCTGGCCGTTTCAATACACCGCCTGCGACCTGTGCCGCCGGGCGCTTCAATACACGCTTGGTGACGGCCTGGGCGGATGAAGCCGCCGCCTGCACGGAGGAGCCCACCGACGCATACACATCGCACCACTTTCTCAACACTGATCGGGACACCAAGACAGCTTTCCGTCGCATACGCAACACGGTATGCAACGTGTGGTACTTCAGCCCTGGATATACATCGCGCATGTGGTCACCAAGTGCCGCGTTGAGCTTTTCGGCCGTGTCGTACTGCAAAGGTCCAGAGTCAGGGTGATGCTTCACGCACCATTGCCTCAAAACCATACCGCTGACAGCGACGGGAGGATCGCTCTCCGAGAGAAGCTGCGAGAGGACCTCCGCGGCGGCATCGTCGGCGAAGCTCTCCCGATACTGATTGAGTCGAAGACGCTCGCCCATACATTCCTCCACAGCTTGGGCAGTGTTGAGTGCCCCCTTGGCGCCCCACTCCGTGCTGAGCCACTTCTGGCATACCCTGGCGTTAGCAGATACAGATAAATGTCCAAGGAGCCACTGCTTCAAGACGGCCCCGTCAGTGGTCCCCTCGGGCATGTCTTTGCGAATACGTTCTCCATACCAGCTCTCCAGATGGCCAGCGTTCTGCACTTGGACAAGCGTGTCTTTCGATGAATACTGCAGTAGCCACGCCGTTGCGACCCTATCTGGCACATACAGTGGTGGATCCAACTGTCGGAGCGCCCGGCATAATTTGTAAGCGGTATTATACTCGATGCCCAGGTGGCGGATGGCAGACCCGTGCTGCTCCTCCAGCTCCTTGGCGCTAGAAATACTGACCTTGCCAGTCACAACCCGATACTTGGCCCACCAAGTCTTGCACGCCTGGTGACTGGCATTGATACCCTTTGCCGCGAGCGCCTGATGCAAATAATACGCACTCTCGCAGTCGGCCAAGGGAGGCCGGGACAGCTCTGCGCCATACTGCTCGTGAAGGTCTTTCGCCGTCAAAGCCATGATCCAAGAACACAGGCGATACCTTGATCCGAGATGGCTACGGATATGAGCGTGAGAGGAAGGGGGGAAGCCTCCTGGGGCCGCTGGGGGTCCTCTTGGGGAAGGGGGGAAGCCTCCTGGCGCCGCATGGGGTCCTCTTGAGAGGCTTTGGGGGGCTTCTTGAAAGCATGTTGGGGCCTCTTGGGGGCTTATTGGATCCTCCCGGAGGACTCTTGGAGCCGCTTGGACGCCTCCTGGGGCCATCTTGGGGGCCTCTTGGAGCCAACTTGGAGCCTCTTTGGAACCTCTTGGGGGCCTCTTGGAGTCCTCTTGGGGCCTCTTGGGACCATCTTGGGCGCCTCTTGCGGCCTCATGGGCGCCTCTTGGGGCCATCTTGAGCGCCTCTTGGGGCCATCTTGGGTTTTAAAGATTCATGAAGAGCCCGCGGGTGGATTTTGATATTTTTCGGATGAGAAAGTCTTGCGTTTGCATATGTTTTCGGAACATCGCATCTTCAAATTATTGAAATCACATTATGTTTGGCAGGATTTCGGCACGCGCGCGCGGCGGCCGCGCGCATGTGCACTTCGTGTCATTTTTTGCAAGGGATGGTGGCCCTCGTAGGCTCGCAACCGTTGTTGCAGAAGGTCGAAGCACCTGAAAAGGTTCCTCGCAAAGGCCCTTTTAACAGAAATGTTTAAAATCTGGTGGGTTTCCTAGGAATCCGCAAGAGCGCGCGGAAGGACATTTTGACAATTTCTGAGAAACCATTGGGTTTTTGATGTTTTTATGTTAAAATCGTTACGAAACCTAAGGTTTTGGAAGGATTTCGTCTTGCGCGCACGAATGTCCACTTTACCTTATTTTTTGCAAGGGATTCTTGCAATTTGATCAAGTAAAAACAAGAATTTTCATTTTCTATTGTTTTTTGCAAGGGAAAACGAGCGTCAACAAAAAACCGGATCCGGAGCTCATCCACTTTTCTGAAGCTTTCGCGAAAAAATGATGAAAATGTAGCTGCGGCCTAGGCGCGGCGCAGAGGTCGCGCACCAGGGGTCCCAACAATAATAATTCTTTAGAAGGAATAATGTTCAACAACAACAACAACAATCATTTTACCCGAACGCTCAGTGTTCTCCCCAGTGCCAGGGTTTTCTTGCGACACCAGCCAATACCCCCACTTCGTGGGGGGGCCGTTCAAGCTCTACCAAATATCCAAACGACTCTTCGAGACCACCCACACCCAGCTTCCCGCCCTATGACGTTGGGACACTTCACTTCGTGGCGTGCGGACGACCCTGGCTACTACACTGGCGTGGGGTACACACCCACAGAGGTTGATCACATCTGTTACATATGATGTGGTACACGGTACACGTGAGATGGTACGCAGTGCCAAGATAGTTGGTCACATTTTTGGGGCAAATTCGTGGGGATGCGATTACAGAAGTACATGTGTTACACTGATGTGGCCCTCGCAGGCGCGCAACCGTTGTTGGAGAAGTTCAAAGCACCTGAAGAAGTAGCACGCAAAGACCCTTTTGACAGAAATGTTTAAAAAGTGGTGTGTTTCCTATGAATCCGCAAGAGCGCGCGGAAGGACATTTTGACAATTTTGTCTTAAAAAACCATTGGGTTTTTGATGTTTTTATGTTAAAATCGTTACGAAACCTAAGGTTTTGGAAGGATTTCGTCTTGCGAGCGCGAATGTCCACTTTACCTTATTTTTTGCAAGGGATTCTTGAAATTTGATCAACTAAGAACAAGAATTTTCATTTTCTATTGTTTTTTGCAAGGGAAAACGAGCGTCAACAAAAAACCGGATCCGGGGGTAATCCACTTTTCTGAAGCTTTCGCAGAAAAATGATGAAAATGTAGCTGCGGCCTAGGTTTTGGGCGGGGGGCGTGCACCAGGGGGTCCAACAATAATAATTTTTTAGAAGTAATAGTGTTCAACAACAACAACAACAACAACAACAACAACAACAACAACAACAACAGCAGCAGCAGCAGCAGCAGCAGCAGCAACAATTGCAACAAGCACATCATCATGAGCAGCAGCAGCAGCAGCAGCAGCATAGTCATCAACCTCAACAGTAGTATCATCAGCAACGGCATCATCAGCATCGTCATCTCCATCATGACCACCGCCACCACCATCACTATTGATTTATCACCAACGCCATCACCATCACAATCATCATTACCATCATCATCATCATCATCATCATCATCATCATCATCATCATCATCATCGTCATCATCATCATCAGCAGCAGCATCATCCTCATCATCATCATCATCAGCAGCATCATCCCTCCTCCGATGGCGTTTCCCACGTATCACCCAACTGTCTTGGATTGCAGTTGACCTCCTGCAGGCCCTCGTCGCCACGGCCAGATCCGCCTCGAAATCATAGTCAGAGCGCATTCTAGGGTTGTTTTTGAGGATGAGAGGCACGACGCAAATGGGGCGCTCCCCCAAAGCGATTCTCCGACTCCCCCCTCATGAGAATGAGTTTAGCGCTCGGCCACCTCATCTTTGCCTCCAAGGTGCGAGGAGGCGGAGGAAGAGGGAGTGCGGGAGCAGACGCTCTCTGGCACCCTCTGCGGTAGACACAATCGCCCAGAGAGCGGGTGCTACTGATTGGCCAGGCGATTGCCAGCGGCGCGCCATGCAAGGTCGTGGCCCCGTGGCCCTAATGGTTGCTTGGATTTCCGTTCGGAAATCTTTGCGTATCAGACGCTCCAATAGAGAGCAGGTGCCAACGCGGCCAGTGATGGATGACCATCACCGGCAGCGTCGTCATACGAATTAACTGATGATTGAATCTCTCGCAGGAGCGAAAGATCGTGGGACCAGGCCTCCGCTTCTGCCCCCCCCCCCCCCTGCCCCTGCTAAGATGGAGGCCTCCCGAACGAAGCCAGAACAGGCGGGGTCGGAGGATCGCACCGCATCGCCGATGCGCCAGCGATGCATCGGCGACGTCGGAGTGGAGAAAATCGGGCTCCAGATCGCGTCGCATCGCCGAAGCATCGGGATTAGAGGAAGAGAAAACTGCATGAACACAAGCTTCCGACGGTCAGCGGGGAGCGTCGAAAGTCTACGTTGATGCAGCTTTGTCCTCTTCGTCGAGAGAGAGATGCGGCGCGAGCCCCCGCCCCCATCCTCAGAGAACTGACCCACCGCTTCCCGCCAGCCGCCCGGTCACAGCTCGGCGGCCGCCCGAGCTCCTCGTGCATCGAATTGGGGATGGCCGGGGCCGCCAAGATCGCGGCGAGAGCCAGGCTCGCGCCCCACGCCTCCCCCCATCGCCCCACCGCGCCAGGGGAGGCGGGAGGGCCAGGAGGAGGAAGAAGGAGGACCGACGACGACCGACGACGAGGCGGATGAGGCGATGGGAGCAGACCAGGACACCCGACGTCACATTCTGTTCGTCATGTGGACCCTCCAGGCCCCCAGACCCCTTCCTCGTAACCAGCGCTTCATCCTGGGACGGTTTTGACAGCCATGTGACGCCACAAGGAGACGAGGGGGCCGAATAGCCCGGCGAGGCCTGTCAGGTCGCCAGAGGTCCTGGAGAGGTCCTGGAGAGAAGAGGACGAGGAGGAGGAGGAGGCGGCGGCCGATACCTCGCTATCGCTGCAATTTTGTGGCTACCCCGACGATGGAGATCACGGGCTTCTTTGGCTCTCCGCGACCCCAGACCCTGACGCCAGCACGTCCGCATGAAAGCAACACAGCGAAAGGCCCCCGCTGGGTTTGAAAAGGCTCTCAAACGATGATCCCTCCCTGCCCTGCTCTTCCTCCTCCCTCGTGTAGCGTTTGTACTCTTCCTCCTTCCAGGCACGAGTTTGTGCTCGAAAAGCGTGGTTTCTAGCTGAATGCACCGCCTTTCGATGAGTTGCATGCGGATGCCAAGGTTGGCGTAGCAACGGTGCATTAAACGCCGACGTCCATAGAGGAGCCGAAGCCGAAGAGGTAAAATACACTCCTGCGGGCTGGTGGCGGCGGCAAGAGGCAGCGCGGGCGGCAGGGGAGGATGTGGTTTCATACTCTCCCTCCTCACCATCACCACCACCACCACAATCGTCATCATCAGCATCATCAGCATCAGCATCAGCATCAGCATCAGCATCATCATCATCATCATCATCATCATCATCATCATCATCATCATCATCATCATCATCATCATCATCATCATCATCATCATCATCATCATCATCAGCATCATCATCAGCATCATCATCATCATCATCATCATCATCATCATCATCATCATCATCATCATCATCATCATCATCATCATCATCATCATCATCATCCATCATCAGAATCATCACCATCATCGTTAGCATCACCATCATTATCATCATCAGCATCATCATCAGCATCATCATCAGCATCAGCATCAGCATCAGCATCAGCATCATCAGCATCATCAGCATCATCAGCATCATCATCATCATCATCATCATCATCATCATCATCATCATCATCATCAGCGTCACCGTCACCATCATCATCAACATCATCATGTTCGTCCTCCTCGTCGTCCTCGTCCTCCTCCTCGTCCTCCTCCTCCTCCTCCTCCCCCTCCTCCTCCTTCTCATCCTCTTCCTCCTCTCCTGTTCCCACTCCCTGGCATCATCCAGAACCTCTGTGACGAAGACCCATCATTCGGAGGCCCTCCCCCCTCTTCGACTAATCTCACTAGGAATTCCATGCCCCTCCTTGTGATACAAGCTTGACAATTCGCGCAGCAGCAACGATGCCCAGGCGAGTTGCCTTGATCAAGAACTTGGAGAGCATAGAAAGAAACAATGAGCTGCGAAGCCGTCAACCCCCCCTCCCCCTACCCCCTACACCTGGGTCTGGACGCGGGGGGGGAGGGCGCGAGTACCGAAGAGCACCCGAAACAGCCCAGGGTGACCTTCACGATCCGCCACCGTGCTCGTCGGCACGGAGCGGGCGTGACCTCAGGATATACCCCTAATCCTCTAAGCCTCGATCCTCACTCCTGAGGAGTCTCTCAGGGGCCCCGACCCCGAATCGCCAAATCTTCTTAAGCTTGGCGCGTGCCCCCTGGTGTCCCTGGCCACTCCCCGCGTGACTGTCTGGGGCCCAAGGGGACCCCAAGACGGAACAAAAGAGCCAAGAAGGCCCCGAAACACCGAAAGATCGCACCAAGACGCCCAAGATGGCCCCATGACGGCCCAAGAAGCCTCCAAGATGCACCAAGAGACCCCCTAGAGGCCTCCCAAGAGGGCCCCGAAAGGCACAAATCATTGAGTTCCCGTTGGTCTTTGAAGCGGTTTGGCCTGTTCGCCTTTTCGGCGCCCCGACGCCCCAAGACAGTCCAAGAGGCCCCCCAGATCACCCCATGACGGCCTCAGAGGCCGCCAAGAGGGCCCCAAAGCGGCCCAAGAGGGTCCCAAGACGGCCCAAGAGGCGCCCAAGATGGCCCAAGAGGCCCCACAGACGGCTCCAGGAGGGGGCTCCAGCCCTCGGCAACAAGGGGGGCCCAGAAGGCCCCCAAGAAGCCCCCAAATGTCTGAAGAGGCCACAAGAAGCCCCCAAGGCTCAAGAGGCCCCAAGAAAGCTCCCAAAAGGCTCCCAATAGGCCCCCGAGGGCGCAACGAAGAGACCCTAGGAAGCATCCCTGAGACCTCGGAACAAAAAGAAGCGATAGGACCATGGGATGGCAGGTAGAGTGCAAGATGCAGAAGAAAAGTGCACTATCCAGAGGATGGTGATTCCTGTTTCCAATGCTATAGTGAACTGCTGGTACACCTAGGAGCCCAGGCAAGTAGAACGCCAGCGCTTGAGCCAAGCGACGGCGGGATGCACGCTACGCTCGCTATCTGGCCGCCTCGCTGCGCAAGGATCGCGCGTCGGGAGCTGGCCGAGGTGCCCGCCCACGCCGAGGCTTGGGCGTCCCCGGGCTCGCTGCTGGGCGCCCCCCCAGGCGTTGCCTCCGCACGGGCGCTGGCGCTGCTGCGAGCACGAAGATGGAAGGCCAGCGCGGATGGATTGCCCAGCGGAAGATGTGGATCCTGGCCACGCAGGCATTGACGCCGCCGGCAGAGGAGCGGCTCACGCACTCAGAGCACCTGCGGGCGCTCGCGCTCCCAATGGCTGCGCACATCGAGCCCGCGCGCCGGGTTTCCTCCGAGCACTGGAAGGCCGGGGGCCAGGGGGCGGTCAAGCGGGAGCCACGGGCTGCGGCAAGGCGAGCCGAGGGGCTGCCCCGGCTGGCTGGCCACTGGCGCGACGCCGATAGCGGCGCCAAGAAGCTGGTCCACGGGATCAACGGCCCTATCCCCGCGCTGCTGCTGGAGAAGGGATGCCCGCGCAAAGTCCTGATCGTGGAACGGACGGGCCCCGGGCTGGCTGTCCGACCGCTGCGGGCACAGGAGGCGCGGAGGATGCACGGGGGAACCGACGACGGTTTGGCCAACGCAGGGGGAGGAGGAGACCAGCCCGCTCAGTTGGCCCGGGCGCTAAAGGCGCTCCCCAAGATCTGATCCCTCATTTGTGACATCTCCCGGTCTCTTTCTTCAGGCACAGCCTCCCGCCTTCTCTCTTCGGCATGCCCCCATTCAAGGCTGCGCAGTGCCACGCAGTCGCGTGCGAGAGGCGGAAGACAATCCTGGCAGAGCAACATCAGCTGGCCATGGGGACAGCTGAACAAGCACGCCCGACAGACTGCCTTCTTGCATTGTCCTCGATTTCCTGCGCAGCAGTGCTCGGGAAATTCCGCACATCCAGCGCCTCTGTTGGCACGTGAATCATTGATGCGGAAGCTTGACGCAGTGGAGCGCGAAGCACGGGTTAAGGACGACGACGCGCCCGACGGCGCCGTCGACATCCTGCATCGGTCGGGCCCCAAGCCCCTGGCCCTCGGAGACCGAATACGGGCAATACGGACCCTAGCCGCGCTGGTGCCCAGGCGCCCCGCACGCGTGGTTCGACTCAGGGGCACAGCCCCCAGGGTGACCACCCAGTTCGAGCACCTGGTTCTCTCCTCCAGCACGCCCTCCGTTACAGTCCGCTTCACGAGCGGGGACCTTATCGACAAGCTGATTGTCTCCCGTGGCTATTTCGCCGCAAGCATCCTCGACCCCGGTGTCCCCCCAGCGTTCGATTGAGCGATCGTAATCATGCCGGCGCCATCATCTCCGCCATTTCCCCGTGCAGGTCTCCCTACGACGGTCGTGCAATTTCGTAGTCATCCGGTACCGAGGTCGGCGAAAACTCCTGAGCCGACATAAGGGAGGACCCGAGACCACAGGCCTCAGAATGAATTACCCTCTGTGTGAGACCCATCGGTCATCCCTTGATCTTACCGGGGGCCGACTTGACCAATCTCCCATCCTCAAACGAGAGGGATATGTGATCGCCAATGCTCTTTTCTAAGCTGGAAGAGATCATGTAGGCTCGCTGGACTCTGGGCGGGAATGATGATCCACCCAACTTGTTTGAACCATACCACTCGGCGTCAACTTCTGCCTTGTCCACTTCCGCTCGTGGCGTGTCGCGACGACCGGAACCTTCTTCCGCCGGCGTATCTCACGCCGACAGCGCGAAGGTCCTGCTGAGATTATGCGAAGGACGCGAATCGGAGAACCTGACACTTCTAAGCCGTGACACAATAGTTGGTACATCCATCCCCGAGACAGGGCGCACAGCTCCTTGAGTTCGTGGCGAAACTTTCGGCTGAGAACCACTTGCTTTGCCGATGCATCATGAAGTCACGCAACCTAGTAGGTGGTGTTCAGCGTGTTCAAGTCAATCTTCTTCCAACAACGATCTCAAGATACGCCTGGGTGATGTAGTACTTGACGCCATGGCTCTGGTGTCCGAAGGTAGGGATGCTGGCCGCGCGCGCACACCTTTTAGATTAACGCTAAATACCTGCGAACAGTGCAACGTCAGCAATGCCACCGCCAACCCTCATTTGGAGGGGAGAGGCGGGGCTGGAAAATATAGCGAGGGGAGCCGTAGTAGTTACTCCCTCCTCCTCCTCCTCCTCCACCTCCTCCTCATCCTCCTCATCCTCCTCCTCCTCTTCCTCCTCCTCCTTCTCCTCCTCCTCATCAGACTACGACGACGACGGCGGCGACGGCTAGGACGAAGGGCAACTGCGGCGTGGCATCCTTCGGCGCTGCGCCTACCGGCCGCCCATGTCCATCATGGGGGGCACCATGTATCCCCAGCCTCGGATTGGCTGGCGTTCCCTGCTCCTGCTGCTGTTCCTGCTCCTGCTCCTCCGCCTCCTCCGCCTCCTCCGCCTCCTCCTCCTCCTCCTCCTCCTCGTCCTCCACCCCCCCTCATCCTCCTCCTCCTCCTCCTCCTCCTCCGCCTCCTCCTCCTCCTCCTCCTCCTCCTCCTCCTCCTCCTCTTCTCCTCCTCCTCCTCCTCCTCCTCCTCCTCCTCCTCCTCCTCCTTCTCATCATCATCATCATCATCATCATCATCATCATCATCATCATCAGCATCATCATCATCATCATCATCATCATCCATCATCATCATCATCATCATCATCATCATCATCATCATCATCATCATCATCATCATCATCATCATCATCATCATCATCATCATCATCATCATCATCATCATCATCATCATCATCATCATCATCATCATCATCATCATCATCATCATCATCATCATCATCATCATCAGCATCATCATCATCATCATCATCATCATCATCATCATCATCATCATCATCATCATCATCATCAT